CCCCCCCGGCCAAGAACCAAGAAGGAGCTCCAGTCCTTTCTCGGCAAGGTCAACTTTTTAAGACGATTCATATCCAATCTGGCAGGGAAAATCCGCTCCCTTGCTTAAACTGAAAGATACGGAACGGTTCGTATGGGGGGCAGAGCATCAGGCGGCCCTCGACGATATCAAGAAATATTTGTCCCAGCCGCCGATCCTTATGCCGCCAAAAAGAGGGAAACCATTGAGGCATTACATTTCGGCTTCAGAGGGCTCTATCGGCTGTCTGCTGGCTCAGAACAACGAGTCTGGGCGCGAACAAGCGGTGCACTATCTAAGCTGCACCCTCAACACGGCCGAATTAAACTATTCGCCGATCGAGAAATTATGCCTAGCGCTTTATTTCGCGGCCACCAAGTTGCGGCATTATATGCTTCCTTCGGTCGTTCAAATCATCTCCAAGACCGATCTCATCAAATATATGCTTACTCGGCCGATCATACGCGGCCGAATTGGGAAGTGGACGATGGCGTTATCCGAATTTACCTTTCAATACGTAGCTCAGAAATTGGTCAAGGGTTAGGCATTGGCCGATTTCCTAGCACATCACCCGACCCAGGGACAGGAAGAGGAGTTGGAGGTCGAGATCGGTATGGCCCGCATGGAAAAGAATTATTAGACCATGTACTTCGACGGCTCCATCACCGAGGCCAGGTCGGGAGCCGGAGTCGTGATCGAATCTCCTCAGGGGCAAAAATGGCAGTTCGCATTCCAGCTCGACTTCAAATGCACTAATAATCAGGCTGAGTACGAAGCGCTCATCATCGGTCTCGAGATTTTGAAAGAAATGAAGGCAACCCGTGTTTTAGTCTACGGCGACTCTCAGCTGGTAATTAACCAGCTGACTAGGGAATACCAATGCACGAGCGAGAATTTAGCCATGTATTACGTGACGGCCCTCAACACGGCCGATGGTTTTTCTAGAATTTCCTTTGTTCATGTACCGCGCACCGAGAACGGCAAGGCCAATGAGATGGCCCAGGTAACATCAGGCGTCAACATCCCGAACATCGACCACGATCGCGTGATAAGGATTGAAAGGCGTACCTTGCCAGCTTTGGCCGAACGTGGGATGCCAGCGCAATTGTCTTCGGTCGATATCACCGACGAGATCAGCGCGGCCGAAGCCGACTGGCGCTACCCCATTGTGAAATATTTACGTAATCCTTCCGGCAGCCATGAGAGGACTACACGTTTCCAGGCTCGGTGCTACTTGATTTATCATAACGAGCTGTATCGAAAGGGATAAGACGGCTTGCTGCTCCTATGTCCCATCGCCGAGGACATCAGGGTCATCATGGCCGAATCTCTCGAAGGGATTTGCGGTGCTCACCAGTCTGGCGTCAAGATGAGGTGGTTGGTTCGGAGACACGGCTATTACTGGCCGACCATTTTGAAAGATTGCATAGAATATGCGAGGGGATGTATCAAGTGTCAAATCCACGGCCCCATACAAAAAGTACCGGCCGAGGCCCTCCATCCGGTTACCAAACCGTGGCCGCTCAGAAGGTGGGCCGTGGATATCATCGGCAAAATTCACCCAGCTGCGTCCAACCAACATGCATGGATTTTGGTGGCAACCGACTATTTCACTAAATGGGTCGAGGCCGAGTCCTATCGATCAATTTCCAGCGCACAGGTGGTCAAATTCTTTGAAAATCACTTCGTCCACAGATTCGGTATCCCAGAAACCATTACAGCAGATAACGGCCCGGTTTTCGCATCGGCCGAGACTCAGGAATACACCCAAAGGATGGGAATCAAACTGGTCCACTCAACACCTTATTACCCTCAGTCTAACGGACAAGTCGAGGCAAGTAACAAGGTAATCAAGGGTATCCTTGAGAAGATGATCAAGGAAAAACCTAGGGCGTGGCACGACTTGCTCCCTGAAGCTCTTTGGGCGTACCGAATCTCAAAGCAATCGGCCACGGGCACATCTCCTTATGCCTTAACCTATGGTCACGACGCCATCGTTCCAATGGAGTTAAAGGTTCGGTCTCTCCGTGTGGCCGAGCAGCCTGAACAAGGAAAGGGGGATTATGCACAAGCCATGGCTCAGGAGTTGGAAGATTTGGAGCAATCTAGACTCGACGCTTATAACCTCATGCAGGCACAGAAGCAGATTGCGGCGAGGGCTTTCAACAAAAGGGTTAAGCAGAAAGCTTTCACCGAAGGCAACCTAGTATGGCGAGCCGTGCTTCCTATCGGGACAAAAGACCCTCGGTTCGGCAAATTTTCGCCCAATTGGGAAGGGCCGTTCATTATCGAACGAATTCTTGGCCGAGGTGCATTTCAGTTAAAGGATAGGGATGGAGAGTGGCACAACTTACCGATCAACGGCCTGTATTTGAAGAAATACGCCCCGTCATTATGGGAGACGGCCGTGAAAGAGTTATGAATATTTACAAATGATAAAAGTGGAGTATGCAACGCGACAAAGACGAACTAAAGGAAATCATACTTCATTTTATTCATTTAGTTTTAAAAAGGGGGACACGTTTACAAGGGAACGGCCAGGTCATGGCCGAGTACAAACACACAAGAAAAATCACATCCTAAATCTACACGCTGCGGCTCCATGGTCTTCTTGATAGGCAATCAGACACTTTCCCCCGAGGCAGGACCTCCGCCACCCATATTGTCATCAGTCACGGCCAACCTAAGAGCTAGGGCTTCACTCCAGGCCATGGAAGGCGCAAGGGCCGACACTCCGGACACGGTAAGCAACTGCCACTCCAGCCATGGTAAGCAGTCGCCATTCCGGCAGTGGCAGCGGCCGTCGTTCAGGCCGTGGTGGCGGCCATCACTCTGGCCATGGTAAGCGATCGTCATTCCGATTATGGTAGGAGCCATCACTCCAGCCATGGTAAGGGCCGTCACTCCGGCCATGGATGTGACCCGGGTGCTCAGCCGCACAGATTCAGCCACGTTGGGGTCTTCATCCCAATTCCTCTCACCCTCATCAAACTGCCAAGTCATCTGGACCAGGCCAAACTGCCAGGTCATGAGACTCAACAGGTGTGGCTCCCTGGTTTCGAGGAGGCTGCAATGAGGATCATTAGGGCAGGTTGAAATGGGGAAGGACGAAGCCCGGGAATCGAAGGAGGGCTCCAGAGTGATTAAAGCAAGAAGGAAGGTCACTAAGTAATAGAAAGAAGGCTGAGAAGAACTGGGGAAAGTCAGTGTGAACCTTCGAAGAACTTGAACTCAGAGATTTTGGGAGTGTGAAAGAAAATGCGAAGGAGTTTGGGTTTTATACTGGCACTGGAGTTCAAAACACAGAAGTGTGATTCTCAAAAGATGAAACGGCCTGACAGCGCACTCAGAGCACGCGAAGATGTGACAGAAACTTGGCGACTGACGTTTCGATTAGCAAGGAAGAATGATGACTCATGCGAATTAAGGGCGCGATGACGTGGCGAAAGTCCAGAGACCGTCACTTCACTTGACGAGGCGTCGAGTGAGCCTGGGCAAAGATGGCCTACACGACGTGCTTGAGGCATTAAGTGCGCCGACTGGCCGGCGCATTTAATGCCCCGGTTGTCAATCACTTCAGAAGGAATGCAAAGGGTCCATCCCTTGGAATCCATTCGGCCCCTACCCACGCCGAGGCCGAAGAATCCAGGGATGTGGGGACAATGTTTGTGCCTAATAAATCACGGCCATAAGCCGGCCTAAGGAGCTCCCTTTCTCGGCCCTGGCGCTTGCTCGTAACACTGAAACGCAGCGTTTCAACGAGGTGCTTTGTCTTCCCAAGAACAAGAGAAAAATGCTAAGGCATGATCATCTCGGCCTTGAGTGCAGGCCGAGGCCGAGGCCGAGCAAAATCGCAGCCTTTGGCCGAACTTAAGCCGGCCCTTTGCGAACCAGTTCTTGGTCTCATAACACCAACAACTGTGTTGTCTTGCGAGACGTTATCCAGAAATTGATAGACGAGAAGAAGCTCCAGTTCCCGGAGAAGGCGGCCATGCAGGTCGACTCCAAGCCGTTTCCCCCGCCTGTCGTTAACATGGTCGACGCCCAACTCCCGGCCGGGGATAGAGGAGTCCGCAGTTTGGCGAAAGGAAAGGAGCCTTTGGCCGAACTTAAGCCGTCCCTTTGCGAACGATGCAAATGTGAGATCGGTCAGCCTATGCCGCAGGAGAACAAGAGAATGGCCGCCGAGCCATCTCAAATGGCCGCCGAGCCATCTCAAACGATCGCGAAAAGATTCGGTCGACGGCCGACTAGCAGAGCTATTTTCAGCCGACTAGGGCCACAAACCCCAGCGTCTCAGCCAACCGCGAAGAAGAGGCCGCTCCTAGATCGATAAAAACCTTCAAACCACCAGTCATAAAGGATGACCGTTGGTACCATGCACGGCCTGGGGGCAGGGCCGAACCTCTGACGAAAACCCAACTGAGGAGAATGGAAAGACAGTTCCAGCAGGCTAGGGTGCAGGCAACTGAGGCCGAGAGCTCCAAACGCCAAAAGAAAACGGCAGCTGCAGACGGACCGCCGTCCACTCCGATCGTCCCCTCGCCGGCAAAAGCGGCCAATACCAAGCCTCTAAGGACGTGGCGCCCTAGGCAGGCCGAGGGCCCCCCTAGATCAGCGGCCACTCCGGTTCAGCCAAAGGCCGCGGCCCCAGGAGGAGCAGACGAGGGAGTCGTCGACATCTACCGTGGAAGAGATCCCCCTTTTTCGGCCAATGGCCTGTCCTTTCTCAAGGAATTCCATAGGGACCATTCGGCCACGGACCTGTACGGCACTCCTCATCACCAGCGTTTCTGACTCGGCCATTAAGGCCGTATACCAGGCGAACAGGGAGGCCAGGAAAAGATTCGGTGGCCAGTACGGTCGACGGCCGACTAGCAGAGCTGTTTTCAGCCGACTAGGGCCACAAAACCCCAGCGTCTCGGCCAACCGCGAAGAAGAGGCCGCTCCTAGATCGATAAAAACCTTCAAACCACCAGTCATAAAGGATGACCGTTGGTACCATGCACGGCCTGGGGGCAGGGCCGAACCTCTGACGAAAACCCAACTGAGGAGAATGGAAAGACAGTTCCAGCAGGCTAGGGTGCAGGCAACTGAGGCCGAGAGCTCCAAACGCCAAAAGAAAACGGCAGCTGCAGACGGACCGCCGTCCACTCCGATCGTCCCCTCGCCGGCAAAAGCGGCCAATACCAAGCCTCTAAGGACGTGGCGCCCTAGGCAGGCCGAGGGCCCCCCTAGATCAGCGGCCACTCCGGTTCAGCCAAAGGCCGCGGCCCCAGGAGGAGCAGACGAGGGAGTCGTCGACATCTACCGTGGAAGAGATCCCCCTTTTTCGGCCAATGGCCTGTCCTTTCTCAAGGAATTCCATAGGGACCATTCGGCCACGGACCTGTACGGCACTCCTCATCACCAGCGTTTCTGACTCGGCCATTAAGGCCGTATACCAGGCGAACAGGGAGGCCAGAGCAAGCGGCCTGCCAAGTCACCAGCCCAACCTCGGCGGATTAGAGGCTAAAATCCCCTTCAGTAAGGGCGATCTAGAATATCTCCGCCAGTACTTTGCTGTGACGCCGGCAGACACTTTCTTCGGCCTGACGACCGAGGAAAAGGGCCGAATAAGCCGCCTAGATGATTACCTGACGGCCAGGGACGCATTGGCAGAGGTTAGACGCACCCTCAAAGAGGAGGTCGAAACCTCAGAACCCCCTGAGGTCAAAGCGTCCACAACCAATAGCCCGAGGGCCATGAGGCTTATGGACGAGGGTTTCGGAGATCCTCTCTTCGGGCATGAGGCCGAGGACGACCCCACAATAGGAATCTCCGATGAGGAATATGAGGGGATCCTCGGGATGGTCGAGGAAACGGCTCTTGCCGAAGACGGCTGTGAGGCCGATGAAGAGGTTGGCAGGGAAAACCCTGGGGAGCCAGAAGAGTTCGGCATCAACATGGTCTTGGTGTTACCATCCGAGTTCTCAGCCCCAGGAGGGCAGACCGACGACCTGGATGATGATATGGCCGAGGAGCAGCTTGGTCAGAGGCCAAAAACAAAGGAGGAACTGTTGGCCGTAGCATTTAACGAGGTCATACCTAGAAGTGAGCCGAACAAATATCGACACCTCAAACCGTTATACATCTCGGCTCATGTTGAGGGGGTGCTCGTGTCTAAGGTTTTCGTCGACTGTGGGGCGACGGTCAACATCCTTCCGTATTCCTTGATGAGGAAACTGGATAAATCAAAGGAGGACCTCATCCCCAGCGACGTCGTCATGA